CTGCATGCGCGAGGTGACAGCCATCCTTTACCTGAGCGAACCGGCCAACTGGGCAGGCGAGGGCGGCGGCGGCTGCGAGGGTGGCATGGAGGGTGGGCCTGGCCGCGAGGGTGGCCGCGACCAGCCCCGAGTGGTGGAGGGCGGCGCGGAGGCGTCCCGCGGCGGCGCGCTGCTGCTGCACCTCGGTGCCGACAGCGCCGACCTCACCGGCGAGACCGCGTCCAGCGTGGTTGAAATCTTGCCGGTGGGAGGACGGCTGGTCCTCTTCGACAGCCGGACGATACTGCACGAGGCGCCCGCCCGCCGCCCTCTCCCGCCGATGCCCCTTGCCCGCATTCCCGCCGCGCGCACACATAGGAGAGCTCACCAGCTCGCCCCTCAAAGGTGCGGCCTCATTCGCGCGAGGACGTCGACCGCGTGGCGATGACGGTCTGGATCGGAGGGGCGCACTCCGTGCAGGGGCTCTTCCGCCACTGCCGGACGTGGTGGCTGCCTTCGTTCCTCTAGCGTTTTGGACTCCCTCCAGAGTCACGATCGTGCACTGCCGTGTCAAACTCCCCCACACACCACATGTACATGTGCATGCGCATGTCAGTACTAAGTTTTGCGCCCAGCACTGGCGCAAAAAAACCCGAGGCATCCGCCGTTGTTGCACTGTTGTTGCAAAAGATATTGCTCCCAGTTTTTACCCCCCCCCCCCCCCCTCTCACTCTGCTCTATTGCAAACGCACCCGACCACTCGCTATAGCCGGCCCCGAGGAAGACCGTATCGGTCGCAGACGGTCCGCCAGAGCTCGAGCTCCTTCGAGTCGGCCGCGTGCTCGGAGAGCTCAGGTGCGGGCGAGTCCGAGCGCAACCGCAAGCACGCGGGCAGCGGCGGCCACTCGCAACCGCCGAATGGGCCGGGCCGGCCGCTCCTTGCAAAGGCGGCCCAGCTCGCCACCGTCGACCTGCAGAGTGTGTCGAAGCTGGCTGCGAACGCCGGCCTGCCGCAAAACATCTCTGCGAGGTAGCGATCGTACTGAGGTGTGTCGCTGCGGAAGAGCACGAAGCAGTCGGCGCCGTGGCCCGAACACAACTTCGGGGACTCTTCCGGAGAGAGCTCGAGAAGACCAGCGTGCAGCGGCCCCGCGCCGCCGGCTCCGAGTGCCTCTGCGAGGCGAGAGACGGCGACGCCGCAAGTCCCGAAGAGATAGTTGACGAGCCGCTGCCAACCGGGCTGCCTGGTGTCGATCGCATCGAAACCGGCGGTCAAGTCCGCCACCGCGCTCCTGAGCGCGCCGGAGGGGAGGCCCGCCTCGTCAGGCGGAGTGAGGAAGCTGCAGCCGACACCGCGCAGAGCGAAGCGAGCGACAAAGGACGCCACCCACGACATGATGCGCTTGCCCATTCCCATGACCATAATATCCGACTCGCTCGCGGTAGAGATCAGCATCACAGGCTTGCCCGCCGCACTGCCCGCCGCAATGGCCTGGTGCGGCTCGCGCGGCAGCACGTCGTCGCCAAAAATGTGGTGGTAGTCGGGCGGCGAGCAGAGGATGTGGTGCGTCTTGAGCAAGCTATTACTCAGCGCCCCCGCCGCAAATGCGACCTTCTCACCGTCGAGGCCGTCAAGCGCCGAGCGGGTCAACTCCTCCCTGCAGCCCGTCGCTTTGGCGATAGCGGCGACGTAGTCGGGCTCGACGTGCTCGCGATAATCGAGCCGAGAGAGTGCGGATATCGCACCTGACTGCACAATCGCCTTGTGGAAGAGCATCCGCGCGCCTGGGCATGCTAGCAGCGTCGCGACGCCGACCCCTCCAGCGCTCTCTCCGTAGATGGTGACGTTGGAAGCGTCGCCCCCAAAGGTGCGAATCTCGTCTTGCACCCACTGCAGGGCGCCGAGCATATCGCGCAGGGCTAGGTTGGTGACGCCAAGGGAAGGGAAGTGGGCAAAGCCGTGCATATTTTGGCGATAGTTGATGGACACCGAGACCACACCGGCCTGAGCAAAGTACTCTGACGTCGTCGGGCTCCAACCGAGGCAGTTGCCATGGTTGCTTGATATTGCATTGCTACCGCCGTGGATCCAAACCATCACCGGAAGCACGCCGGTGACGGACGGAGTGACGATGTTGAGGTTGAGGCAATCGTCGCCCACGCGGCCCGAAGCCTCGAGCTTGCTGACCTTTCCCTTCCCGAACTGCTTTGCCAATCCCTGGATCTCTGCGGTCGTCTCGCGGCAAGCTTCGCCGTATGTTGTGCAGTCGAGCGGCTCCGTCCACGGGGCTCGCGGCTGCGGACCTATCCAGCGATTGGTGCCCGCTGTCGAGGCCGCAAATGGCAGGCCGCGGAAGTGCACCGCTATGCCTCCACTTGCGCCGCGGGAGCGCCGAAAGCCGAGCACAGGCCCTTTGGAGGTCTCCACGCGTACCCGCTCAGGCTGGATGTCGGGAGCGTTACCCACGAGCTCGACGCCGGGGCAGATTGAGCCGCCGTCGTCGTCTGATTCACGAGCAGAGCGAAGCCGCTTGAAAAGGTACACGGCCAGGCTTGCTGCGGCGACCGCGCTGACCGCCTGCCGATGTATCGGCATCGGCCGTCGTGGGTCCGCGTTTTTTTTCTTAAGAATTCTTTTCAAATTCAAAAAACCTTTACCACACAGGTTCATGCACGCCCTGTGAGCGGGGCGGGGTGCGCACTGTGCCTCTGTGTTCGTGCGTCGCCCATCTCTCCTGGAGTCGCTCCTCATCGCAAACCCTTACCCTCGTTGCGAGAAGGATTCGATCGCGGCGAACCACCTCGGTCACTTCCGAGCCTCGGCCGGCGTGTGGAGGGGGCACTGCAATGGCTGCCGCCGTCCCGCTTGCCAAGGTGGACGTTACGTTTCATTCCGTTGAACCGTCAACATTGGCGACTACGACCTCCTCAACCCCTCGTCGGCAGCGCGCCGCATCAGCGTTTTACTAGAGAAGCCGCCGCATTTTACTCGAAACCAAGCCCAAAAAGGCGCGCTCGCCCGACGCGTCTTCTCTTCGACACCGCTGATTCTTGAGCGCAGGGGCAGCCGGCTGACCATGAGGCAGCACTGTAACAGTGTCACGCCTGCTCTTCTTTGAGGTATCACAGTCAGGTCGCTGTGCATTCTCGCATATCCTGGCCGAAAGCTCTCGAGTCTCTCGTGTGCGTGCTCGGCGGACAGGCAGGGGCGCTGTCAAGGCGAGAGCACATTCTGCTGAGCCGCATTGTGCGAGCCTGACCATTTGTGAACTGCATCTTGCCCTGTGCCCTGTGGCCAGCCGCTGGGGGAACCACCTCCGAAGGGGGGGTGGACGTACGCCGGCGGCATGAGGGCTTCAACCACACAGCTACCAAGGCTCCAGCTCAGGTCAGAGGGCCCAGCCACTCGTCGGTTGGGTGTAAACAAACATTGCCTATGGTCTTCAACGCACAAAGGGTGTGAATAGAGCTCTCTTGATCCTTCTGAGCACGAAGACCGCTCGAACTCTTCTGCAGACTTTAGTGTTTCCGGTTTTCATTAGCTGTGAATGTGTATGCGCCCGCCGCAGACCGCCCTATTCCACTGGGCAAGCGCCACGGGCCACGAGAGCCCTGGTAGAGCCCAGCTGGCATGTTCTATCGCCCGGGTGTCGGGCTGTCTGCATACAGACGTCTCGTCGCCGTGGCCGACGCGTGGTCCGACGTGTGGAGGAGTTTGACCTCAGCCAGGCCGGACACGTGCTCATGCAAACAATGCGAGAACTTGGTTGCGCCGCTTAGTGCATAGTGGCGGCGCTGCTTTAGAGGAAGCGGCAGCGTGGGAAGCAAAGCAGATGGAGGCGGCGTGGCATGCCAAGGAGCTGCTGCTGGCGGAGGTTGAGCGGCTAAGTGCAGCAAGGGCCAAGGGCAAGAAGGGCAAGAAGAAGAAGAAGAAGAATGTGGGCGTGGGCGATACGGGCGCCGCTAGGCTCAACGTACAACGAGGAGATGCTGTGCAGTTAGAGAGCTCGTAGCGAGCTCGATCGATTTTGATGAGAATCTGATGAGAAATAAATCTCAATTTTGAGCAAAAAACGCCAAAAAAATCGACTGCAGTCGAGGCTTTGACCGGTCCCCACTGCAATCAGGGTGCCGGCCTCCACCGTGCACACCACCAGTCGTCAAGAAAAAGTTATCTTGGATTTGGCATTTGTGCCTCCACTTTGTTGCCAAAATGCCATCGGCCAACCGCAGGCGGCGGGCGCGGAGGGGGCTGAAGCCAGCTGCAGCACGTGCTGCCGCCCTCGCTGCTTACCACACCGCCACGTGCGACACGCTGTGTTGCTGACAGGCTGAGAGGAGGCTGTGCGGATGCCGTCTCACTCACGCCAAAGACACACAGACGCTCAGAGCAACACAGAGGTGCTCCATATTCTCGAGGTTCCCTCACGCCTCTCTCAGCTGGGTGTCACGGTGTCACCATCGACCGCCATGAGCCAAAGTCTCGAGGTCGCTGAGCGGAGACGAGAGTCGAGAGCAAATTCCAAATAAAGCCGTACGTACGGTCTATACCAAAATTCTGTTTCTGACCCCAAAAATTACGCGAGAAGGGCGAAACGGCAACTCTTGTACCAACCCCATCGGTGAGTGTAGGTGGCTGGATTGTGTGGCCCAGACGGCGAGAGAGGAATCTGCGGCGCGGTGCGGCCTGGTGAGGCTAGCTCGGAAAGAGCCCAGCGCCTCCACCGCCGCTGCCGTACAAGGACGTGAGCGAACGGCGCGCGGCGCCCCCAGCTCTGCTCCCTATCACCAGAAATTGCGGACGGTCAGAGCCCCTGTTCACGGGCGAGCGCCCTCCGCCACGAGACTTCCTGTCGGCGGCACAGCGGCGGTGGAGCCGCCGCTTTGCAGCTCGGCGCAGAACCGAGCGGCGCGGCGCGACGGCACGAACAGGAAAGGGCCGTCAACTCGTCCTGCGACCAGCTGCTCAGCGAGGCTGCTAAGCGCGCAAGCTTCCAGCAGGAGCCCGCGCGAAGCGGGGTCGTCCGTCCCTGCGGCGGCGGCGAGTGCCTCCCGCGCGTCCTGCGGCGGCCACGCGGGCAGGGAAGGTCCCGCTGAGCAGGGCGAGGGCAGGGGCGAGGGCGAGGGCGTGGATGGTGCTCTCGCGCCTCGTGCGAGAGGAAGAGGGGCGTCACCAGCGCCCCCGGCTCGTCGTCGAGCGGCTTCCGCAGCGCGCGGCACCCGAAGAGCGGCAGCGTGCCCACCGCGCCCCAAGCCTCTGCGCCGCTAGCGAGGATCGGAGGCAGCGCCTTGGCCGCAGCGAGGTTGGCCCCGCCCGGCACGAGCACCTGAGACGCAGAGTGCACGGACGCTCAGCCTCGGCTGGGCTACGATGCGATAGCCGTCGCCCGGAAGAAGCACCGCGCGTCCGCCGTCGAGGGCGAGGCGGAGTGCGCCTCCGAGCCCTGTCGGCTGCAGCCGGAGGCCGAGCGTGGGGTACGAGTCGACTGCCTCAACCAGCGCAGCCTCGGCGTCGCGTGGGTCCTCGTAGAAGAGGGCGAGGTCGACCCCGTCTCGCGTGTACTGCAGCGGCTGTCGGCCGGCGTTGGCGAGCACAAAGACTGGGAGCCGGTCGAGCTCCGTGAAGAGCGCGTCGCGAGCAACGCCGCCCGACGCGACGCCGAGGGTGGCGGCAGAGGAGGCGGAGAGGAGGAGCAGCAGCAGGCTCGCTCGAGAGGCCATAACAAACTTTGGAGACGTAGCGTGACAGCGGAGACTTCTTTCGCTCCTCGCTTCGCTTCGGCTCGCGATGCTACCTCCAGTATCGTAGATGGTCCACTTTAGAGCTGTGAACGTGAACAGAGTGGTACCAGCACTGTGGGTCGTTGCGGCACGCATGGGGGGCCTCCCGGACGTATGATCCTAGCCCAATACATCCCACGGAGCACATCTCGATTTTTGACAGAATTAAATGCACTGCCCCCGCACGGTACTAATCGTCGTAGTTTTGGTCCCGGTGCCCTTCACGGCACCACACCGCCGCTTGACAGCCCGAGATTAGCCTAGCAGTGAGTGGGCATCGCCTGCCGGTCGGCTGGGCACGAGCCAAGCACTTGGGTGGCCGTCGACCGAGTCCGGGCGGCGCCTGAGGTGGGTGCCACGGCGTCCGCACGAAGGCGTGGCGGGGTGAGGAGCCAGGAGTGGTGAACACCTCCCCGTCGGGCGCGCGACGCGCCGGATGGTCCGCCGAGGCCGCCGCCGCCCCGGCGGCGGCGATGGGGGCGGCGGGGCCGACCCGGCCGGCGTTTGTCGGCTCCACCTACAGAAGAGCAGTCTCTGTGGGTCGACGATACCAACTCGGTAGTAACGCGGAGCGGTGCTGTGCGGCGCCGAGTCGTGCGCAAGGCGACCTCCTGAGGCTACCTGAGCTGGCAATGGATGCCACCAGGACGCACGGCTAGCAGGAGCCAGTCAGGCATGCCCTGCTGTGGAGCAGAGCCGGCTGGCGCACCGGCGATACTAACTCAGCGCGCCGCGAGAGGCGAATCTGGGCGACTTTGGAGGCGCAGTTCTCGAGCTTGCCGTCGACGATTGATGTCGGGTAAATTGTCACTGCCGTCCGGGCAGGTCTTCTCTCAGCAGGCCGAGCGCCGTGGCCTGGCTCGGCTCGCCGCGGACGGCACGAATTTATGGCGCACAAAAACTCACGAGACCTCGATACTAACAAAGACTACGATACTGGAGGTACTCGTAGAACCCAGCGCCAAGAAGAAGAAACTCTGGCGCGAGCGCACTGACAGCCAGAAGAAATCCAACAGAGCGTGACCCTTTTCCTCCCATCCCTCGCTGGCGCGTTTTGTTTTTTTTTCTTTCAGCCCTTCTTCCCCACCCCGCCCTTGCAAAATCCTGCAAGGTGGGGACGTCTGTCCTCCTCCCTCCCTAGTTTGGTTACCCCTTTCTTTATTTTTCTTTGCTTCAAGCGCAGGGGTGCTTCTTAATATCTCTAGCACCGCGTCAGCGCCTCCTCGTACAGCGGCATGTCCACCGCCGCGGCGCGCGCGACGTCGGACACCTCTGCCACGCTCAGGTTCGCCGTTGCCGTCGCGTCGGCCAGCCGCTGCATCTCGAGCCTTTCGCGGGGCGGGCGCGGCCCCATGTTCCTCGGCCTGTGGGTTAGTCCCCACTGGACCTGTGCCTCGAGACGCGCCTCAAAGCTGCCCTCCCACCCCATTCGCCGGCCAATCTGGCCCCACAGCCGCGTCGCGCAGTCGAGCGCGCCAACCAAGTCGAAGCCTCGCAGCCGCTGCATTGCCGTTGGAAGCTCGGCGAACGTCGACCGCCAGCTGGCGGCGGGCGCGTTCGCACCGGCCCTCGTCGTCGACTGGTCGACGATGTCGGGGACGAGCGCGCGAAGCTGCAGCCCCAGGGACTCGTCGGAGGATGCCCATGCGGCGAATGGCTCGGTCTGCTGCTCGCCGGAGAGGGGGGAGGCTCGCCGAGAGGGCCACATGCGATACCATGAGCGCCTGCTCACAAGCGCGGGTGTGGAAAAGCGCCTCCACACGGTGCTGCAAGATCCGATCCCAGGAGCAACATATGGCTGGCCGGGTCGCGTAGGCAGAGCACGGTGGTGATGGAGCCCCCGCGCTGGTCGTACAGCCGGCGCAGGGCGGGCAAGTGCGGCGCCACGTGCTGCCAGTACCTACAGGGCGTGTAGCAAACGAGTTATGTGCACGTCAGGGCAGGTGGGGCTCCTCGAGCTGCCCGCACTTGCCCATCGATGGCCAGCGAAGGAAGGTGTGCTCTCTGCGAGGATGGAACTCTATCGCCACGCTCTCCGCCTGCCACCTTAGCCTCTCGCCGCACAGCTCGGGCTTCCACCGCCCTGAGGCAAAGTGAGGTGAAGCACACGCTCAGCCCCCCGCCCTATCCAGCCCACCCGTCTTCCCTCGCGTCCAGCGGACCCCCACAGCAACCACAACGGCAAGCCCCTCCCCCGGCTGGCGCCTCTGAAGTGCGGGAAAATGTCCGGGAAGCGCGCAAAGAAGCATGATTCTGTGCCGTACACGAAGAGCTATTGACAGTATGGTGTGCTGTGAAGAAGAGACGTCTTCACAGAGCTGGGCGCCAACAGCGGCACGCCCGGTGCAGTGGCCCACCGCGCTCCTTTGCAGCCAGCAGGCTCTTCAGCCAGTGCACGAGGCTCGAGCCTCCCGTCTTGGGGATGTGGTAGACAATCAGCAGGCGAGGCGGCCGGCTTGTCGCGGTGGTTGAGTTGAGCTCTTCGAGCGAGCCTTTCCCTCCATCGCCCTTGCTGCCTACGTTGTCGGCGAGGAGGCTCGTGGAAGTGTGGTGTGATCTTCCGTGACTAGCTGAGATGAGCCTGCAATGCCGGCCCACGGACGGGACGCCGGCCTCCGCCGCCGTGCGACGCTCGCGCCAGCCGCGCCGTAACTTGTGGCATTCGAGAGGACGCAGGCGACTTCTTGCGGGGTCTGACAACGCACACCTTGGTGAGGCGATGAGAAGCGGTGAGGAGCGTGTGTATGGGGCAAAAGGGGGAAGAAGCCAGGAAGAAGCCCCATTCGTCCACCATATAAAAAGCCAAGACAAGGGAGTGAGACAGTGCGTGTGAATCTGAGCGTGTGCCTTGCAGCAAGATGGCCGGCCGGCAGCATTGCTTTGCTCCGCCCGGGCGGCGCGAGCAGCCGCTGCCACCTAAGGTGATTCGGTGTGCGCTAAGACATGCATAGTGACACGCATTGGCGGCCGATGGGTGAGGCTGGTGGTGCTGGTGGGGTCGGTGCAACGGGATCGGACGCGGGTTCATGGCAGGGAAAAGGACACGGGCATCTAGGTTTTTCTGCCACACAGGCCACACGCGGCGCTGCAGCATACGCGCTGCGACCAATGCCTGATGCCAACCGCGCACTCCGCTTGCGAGTTGTTGACGGTCGGGCACGACGTTCCGCACCCGGCGGCGGCGTTGCTGCTTGCCAGGCTCATGTACATGTTCTGCTGCGGACGCACGCACACTATGAAGTTCTTTCATCGCTTTCATGTCTAGATACCGCCGCGAAGAGAAAAAGGAAAACGATGGTGAGGGGTCCATGGTCACTGCTCACACAAACAAACAAAACGTTAGAGTTGTTCGGTATTGCTAAAAATCTCTCTCTCTCAAACAAACAACGCGTGAACAGGGCCCGGGGTTGTGCGTTTATGTGAACAGGGCTCCAGGCCCCAAATGATGTGTGAGTGTTAGAGTTGTTTGGTATTGTTTAAGGTATTGCTAAAAATCTCTCTCACTAAGTCTCTCGGTGTTTCTTCTCTTTTCGCTGTGACAAAACGCGAAAACAGCAGAGTCCTCCTACGGGAGCCACTGAAAAGAGTAAACGAATTTCGGCTTCTCCTTGGGTCGGCCCGGCAACCACTCACTTGCTCCTTCATGGACCCTGTCAGCGGTAGCGCCTGCCTGCTCGCACTGGTTGGCCTCTTGGCAGCGATAATCTTTTTGCAGCTTCTGGCTCTGCTCCTGTTGCGCTGCACCAGCTGCTTGCGTGGCGAGACCACTCCTCGCTACAGCTGGACGGCATCGAGAGGGCATGGCGATGCTCAGCCAGTGGCAGCGGTAGTTCCATACAAACGGAGTCTCGCAGAGATCCGGGCTGACCGTCCAAAGGCCTTGCCGGACCAGCAGGAGCAGGGGCGGCTCATGGCCATGCTGAGCTGGCTGCGATTTCCGAAACGGGAGACGCCTACTGCTGCCGTTGTCGCGACGATCGAGGATGGCTTCAGCGCGGCCTCTCCGAGGATGCGAGTGTGAGTGAGGCACGCCTCACCGGCGTTTCCCAGTTAGGGTCATCCTGCGGCGGCTCCGCATGTGTTGGTGTCGCCCTTGCCCATCTCCCATCGCCCAACACGCCACGGCGAGTTGAAGGAAGGTGTCATGTCGCGTGTCCATGTGTCTGTACTTTTGGTAAGAGAGAACTACAGTATACCGACAGCACACGCGGCCGGCCACCTCTCTCACGCGCGAGAGAAAGCCCGCCCGCCCCACCAAAGCACCATGGTCCATTATGCACCTGAGCCCGCTGTGCCCGTGGGGAGAGAGCGCTGGCATTGGCAATCCATTGGGGCTTTGGGCATGGTGCTAGCACAGCACGAACGCGAGCCGGAGCCAGCTCTAGCATGTAGCAAGTTCCGGGAGCAAGCAGCGAGCGAGACACAGAACTACTAGCTACTAGCTACCGACGGGCTGCGTGCAAACCGGACGAGGACATACTCTTAAGTAAGGTCTCATAAGATGTCATACGGTGGGCAGCGAGCGAAGTGGGTGAGACTGATGATGCTCCTTCGGGCGGCGGCTGGGGGCGGCCGCAGACGGCGCGCGTAGCGACTGCAGCAAGCGAGCGCGGTCGCCGGCCGCGGCAATGTGCTCGGCGGAAACCGCCGCCTCGTCGGCCGCGCGCCTCGCGTGGAAGTACGACGCCACTAGCGCCGGCCACCCCTCCCCGCTCGCTAACGCCGCCCAAACCGCGAGTGATGGCGGCCAGTCCCGCTGCAGCGATGGCGGCCAGTCCTCCGCGTGCAGCGCGCCGCCTGGCGCCAGCATGTCCTCGATGCTTGCGACGAGGGCCGAGTAGAGCAGAAACGTGCTGGGGCCCGCCTGCGTGAGCTGGGTCATGCCCGTCAGCGTGTCGAGAAGGACGAAGCGCCCTGAGTACCTATCAGCGTGGTGTGGTGCCCATTCTGAGGTCTTGCTTACACAGTTGATGCCGCCGCGAGCTGCCCTGGACCTCGCGAAGAAATGCTCGACGATGCACCCGCAAGCATCGAGACGGATCGTTGGTGGCACCTGGTGGAGCAGCTGCAGCAGCAGGAACAGCCCGCCGCTCCTGACGCCGGCGGTCTCGTGCAGCTGCTCGAGGCGCAGAGGCAGCCACGCTTTCATCTCTTCGAAGCCGTCGAAGCTGAGCTCAGCGCATCCGAACGAGAAGAGCTCCCTCTCGCTGCGCGCCCGCAGCAGCGGCGCCAGGAGCTTGCCGACGGCTGCGAACAGCCCCTCCTCCGCCGCCTCCCACGCTGTCGCTGCGTCGGTGAGCAGGCGGCGCTGCTCCTCCGACTGGAAGGAGCCTGGCGGCCGAGCGAGCAGCTCACGCGTGGCAGTCGTGTCGGGCATGGTCTGCAGCAGCTGCAGCGCCGCCTCGCACAAGCGCTCAAACGCAGCTTCGCCTCGCGGTCTGCCGCCGAGCATGACCTTGCACGCGGGGATGACGCAGGGGGGGTGCGCCGCGTGTAGCACGGCCGCCAGGGCGTTGGCAGACCCGAGCCCGCTGACGCCGCATAGCTTCTCGAGGAGGGCGTCGCGCAGCACCGGCCCGATAGGCAGCCCGCCGCGGCCGGCGTCTGTCCTGTCTGTCCTCAGCGACGCCTCGGTGGGGACGCTCGTCCCAGCTGGGAGCAGGCCCCGATTGATGAGCGACAGTGCGGCCTCTCCAACAGAGGGACGGAGCTCCGCATCGGCGCGCGCCCGCAGCAGCGGCGCCAGGAGCTTGCCGACGGCTGCGAACAGCCCCTGCTCCGCCGCCTCCCACGCTGTCGCTGCGTCGGTGAGCAGGCGGCGCTGCTCCTCCGACTGGAAGGAGCCTGGCGGCCGAGCGAGCAGCTCACGCGTGGCAGTCGTGTCGGGCATGGTCTGCAGCAGCTGCAGCGCCGCCGCGCACAAGCGCTCAAACGCAGCTGCGCCTCGCGGTATGCCGCCGAGCATGACCTTGCACGCGGAGATGACGCAGGGGGGGTGCGCCGCGTGTAGCACGGCCGCCAGGGCGTTGGCAGACCCGAGCCCGCTGACGCCGCATAGCTTCTCGAGGAGGGCGTCGCGCAGCACCGGCCCGATAGGCAGCCCGCCGCGGCCGGCGTCTGTCCTCAGCGACGCCTCGGTGGGGACGCTCGTCCCGGCTGGGAGCAGGCCCCGATTGATGAGCGACTGCATGACACAAATGAACACCAATTTGCGAAATGCTAAAGAAAATAGATGGGCTGACTGTCTGTTACACGCACACAAATAACAAGGAGTACAATAAACATCCGCACATGCCACACGTCAAGGCACCTCCAGTCAAAACCTCCCACAGGCAGAAAGCGTCCCGCGCGCCCGCCAAACGAACCACGAGCACGAGCGGAACAACTCTCCCCCTCCCCCTTCGTCTCTCAGACCGACCTCCCCCCCCTGGCCACCCGTAGGGCCCATGGACATTGTACTACGTGACCTCTCTCTCGAGTCTGAACGGTACTGGTGCAGTGGCCTAGCGCGCCGGCGCTGCCGCCGGCGCCGGCAAAGCGCCGGTGAGCGAGCGTTTCATGCTACGTGCGGCGGCAGCTCCGGGCCGCAGCGGGCGGCTCTGGTGCGTCGACTGGAAGGCGGAGTAGGAGAGGTCGGTCTCCGTCTCCTGCAGCGTCACGCGGCAGTTGTTTTCGCGGTTGAAGGCGGCGAGGCCGTCGGCGATGGCCTTTCGGTCGACGTCGTGGAAAGCGCGGACGACGCCCGACATCTGGAAGACGACGGAGGGAGGCTCGTCGGGGCCCGCGCGCTGGAGCTTCTGGTTCGAGGAGAAGGACATGATGTCGAGCTCCAGCCGCGAGAGCAGGTTCGTCAGGTCGAGCAGCATACCGCGCCGGTCCGGGCCGACTGCGCGCAGGTGGCCGGTGAAGTTGACTCCGTCGCGGCAGCGCGGCGAGTCGGAGCTGGACATCCAGGGCTGCGTGCGCTGCACGTTCACGTGGATGTCGCCCTGGCTCAGCTGCTGCATGTCGGACACCATCCCGCTCACGGACGCCGGCTCCGACTCGACGAGCATGATGGTGACAAAGTCGCGGCCGACCTTGTACGCCTTGACGTCGTGCACCGCGCCGCCGTGCTGGAGGACGGTGTTGGACACCTCCTGGATGAAGCCGATCCGGTCGCGTCCCGACGCGGTGAAGAGCAGGTGCTCCTTCGTCGTGTCGTAGCAGTACTCGGGCGTGGCGGACACGCCGAGGTCGTAGATGCCCTGCAGCGAGCGGCCCTGGCTGCCGAGCATGTCCATCGCCTCCTCGGGCATCGTCACCACGTCGTCGCCGCCGCGCATGTACGAGAGGATGCACGTCCAGAAGAGCGATGTCGTCGCGACCCACGGGATGCGCAGGTGCATCGGCATGAAGGCGAAGTTGACAATCGTGGACGGCACCCACAGCTTCCAGAGCGCGAGCAGGTCCTCCTGGTAGTTGTTGCCGTACTTGGCGAGGCCCTGCGAGACGGAGCCGCCGCTCACCACCTCCTTGAGCGAGTAGAAGGCGGGGAAGTACATGAGCGGGTGGTGCACGAACTGGTCCAGCACGACCTGCATTAGCATCGAGCGCGAGCCAGCGCCGTCGGCGAGCTTTGCGCGCAGCGGCTTGGCGGCATAGGACGCGGCGCCCGGGAAGAGGCGCCCGAAGATGGGCACGTAGAGCGCGTACTGCACGCCGCCGAGGTAGACGAGCCCGAAGCTGGCAAAGGTCGCATTCCGTCGCCAGTCTATGCGCTCGCGCTTCTCGAGGTACGTCTGCACGAGGTAGTCTGAGAAGGAGGTCTTTGCGCAGGAAAAGGCGCACCCGAACTTGAACGGGTGCTCCTTCGCGAAGCGCCCGATCCGTACGAGCATGCTGTCGGCGGCACCGCGCCCCGGCCGAAGGAGCAGAAGGCGGTGGAATCGAAGGGCCCAGCAAGGCGAATCGCAAAAGAGAATACGGGCCCGTGCCCGCCGGATCTTAGCGCGAGCCCTCTTTTCAAAGCTTTTCCGGAATGAAGCCGTTGAAGGCAAACTACCGGCAAGCACTCCCTCTCACACGAAAAAGACCACACGCACAGCCCACACATCACAGGGGCGGCGCGGAGCTCTAGGTCGTGTAGTCGGAGTACGTGGGCAGTGCCTTGCGCTGCTTGCTCGCGCGCTGCTTCCGCTTCTTCGCCATGTAGTTGTCGAGCCGGCCGCTCTTCTCCAGCTGCTGGAACTGCTCGGTGAGCTGCTCCTCCCGGATCTCGCGCGCCTTTTTGTAGTACGGCCGCTTGCCCGCCGCAACCGCCACCACCTCCTTCTTGCGCACCGCCGACTTGAGCCGCTGCCGCTCGGCGGCCTGGTCGTGCGCCATCAGCTGGTTCGACTTGCGGCTCAGCTCGAGCTTGAGCGCCTCCACCTCGTGCGGCGGGAGCGCCGCCGCCGACGCGCCGCGCTTCCTCCGCTTCCGCTTGGCGCCGGGCGCGCCCGCGTGCTGCGCCTTGGCCGCCGCCTTGGCGGAGGCGAGCGTCGACTTGAGCTGCCGCACCTCCTCGCGCTGCTTGTCAAACACAAAGCCGTACTTTTGCCGCCACGCGTGCTCGTCCACCGCCCCCTTGCTCACCGCGTCGAACCGCGGGTCGCGGCCCGACTTGCCTGCGCCGGCAGAGGCGCTGAGGCCGGGCGCGACGCGGAGCGTGGAGACGGCGCGCTTGGTCGACTGCTGCGCCGGACGGTTCTTGTTCGCGCGAGGCTGAATCTCCATCGCGGATAGGCGCAGGCAGAAGCCGAGCAGAGCGCGGGAGCCCTCAAAAACGGGGACAAAGGCGCCTGCCTGGTAAAAAACAAATGCAACGAAAAAATATCAAGGAAAAAATATCGCCGCGCACGGCCGCGTGCAGCACCAGCCTCCTGTCTCCAGACAGATGGTCGTCGGCATCAACCTCGGCTCGCAGGCCGCTGTCGTGGCGTCGGCCGACGGGGCCATCCTCCGCAACGAGGACGGCGGCGTCCGCACCTCGTCCATCGTCGCATTCACGGCCGCCGAGCGCAAGCTCGGCGAGGCTGCCGGCGGGTCGCAGGCGAAGGACCGGGTCTGCTCGGTGCCTCGGCTGGGCCTGCTGAAGCACTCCGCGCTCGCCGACGCCGCGGTCGCGCGCCACTGGCCCTTCCCACGGTCCGAGCACGCCTCCGGGCTCTCGCAGCTAGCGGTGCCTGGCTTTGGCGACCAGAGCGGCGTCGCCCTCCTCGGTGCGCTGCTGGGAAAGCTGCGGTCCACGTCGGGCGCGGCGGCAGGGTCGCCCGTCGCGCTCTCGCTGCCGCCCTGCGCCGCGGCCGGCGCGAGTCCGGAGGAGGCGGAGGCCAGCCGCCGCTTTGCAAAGGCGGCGCTCGCCGACGCTGCTGCCGTCGGAGGGTGGGGGGAGGTGGTCGCTCTTCCGACGCCGGCGGAGGCGGCGGGCGAGGCGCTCGCACGCAAGTACCCCCGTGGCGAGGCGGCGGTCGACACTCTCGTCGTCGACGTCGGCCACAGCTGCGCCTTTGTGGCGGCGGTGCGGCTGCACCCGCTGGCCAAGGAGGGCGCCAAGGAGGGCGCCGCGGCGTGGCGCGCCGAGCTGCTGTACGAGGAGAGCGACGCCTTTCTGGGGTGCGACCAGATGGACGACGCGCTCTTCGACCACTTCGGCGCCAAGGTCGGCGCGTCGCACGGGACGCCCATCAAGCCCGCCAGCCGCGCCGGCTGGCGGCTGCTGGACGGCTGCGAGAGGCTGCGCAAGCTGCTCTCGACGCTGCCCGAGGCGGCGGTGTCGGTGGAGAACCTGGTGGACGGGTGCGACGTGCCGCTCAAGCTGGCGCGCGACGACTTCGTCGCCCTGCTCGCGCCCCTCCTCGCCAAGCTCGGCGCGATGACGCGGCGAGCGCTCTCCACCGCTGGCCTCGAGCGGCTCGCGTCGGTCGGTCGTCGTGCGACCCTGAAGAGGCCTTGTATAGGACGCCTCCCGCGACACGTCGACGGCACGCACCGTAGGTGGAGCTCGCGGGCGGAGGGACCCGCATCCCGGCGGTGCAAGAGGCTGTCACGCAGGCGCTGCTCGAGTCGGCGGCGGGCGCCGCGGTCGGCGGTCTCGAGGACAGGCGCTTTGGCGCCAAACTCGACGACGCCTCCCTCGCCGTCGGAGCAGCCCTCGTCGCCAAGCGGGCGGTCGACGCGGCAGGGCCGGCGGCGGGGGCGGGGGCCGCCACCGCGGGGGAGGCGGGGGCGGCCGCGGCGGCCGGCGAGGCGGAGGCTGCGGACGCTGCTCACGGCAGCGCGTTGGGCGCGGAGGCGCTGGCGGTCTGCGTGGCCGCGGAGGCGGAGATGGCGGGCCGCGACGCGGCTGCGGCGGCGCGCTCGGCGGCCGTCAACGAGCTCGAGGGGTACATCCTCGAGGCGCGCGGCATGCGGAGCCGCAAGCATGGCTCGCTCATCGACGGGGCGTCGCTGGAGCCAATGCTGGACGAGGCCGAGGACTGGCTGTACTCGGACGCGGGAGAGGCGGCCGGCTGCGGCGAGCTCGGCGCCTTCCTGGCCGCGCTGCGCGTCAGGGTGGACGGCACGATGGTTGCCTTCCGCGAGAAGGTCGAGGCGGAGCGGGTGGCGAGCGAGGCCGCGCTGCAGGCGAGCGCCGACGCCGCTGCAGCCGAGCGCGCGGCGAACGGCGAGGACGAGGACCACGACCAGCGGAGGCTGAAGTACCCCGACCGGCTTCGGATGGTGCAGAAGAACAAGGACGAGGGCACGGAGCTCTTCAAGGGCGCCGTCGACGTGACGCAGTACCGCCAGGCGGCCGCGCGCTACAACAAGGCGCTGACGCACGCCGCCAAGTTCGTCGACTTGTCGCCCGACCAGAGGGAGGAGGTGGACGCGCTCAAGCTGTCCCTCCACCTCAACATCGCCATGTGCTGGCTCAAGATCACCGACGCGACCAACCACCTCGACCAGGCGAGCTCGCCCTCCCAAAAGCCTTGCATCGCCCTCTGTCGCCCTCCATCGCTCTCAACCGCCCAACCTCGCCCTCGCCTCGACCAGGCCATCCGATCGTGCACCGACGCGCTCGCGCTGGACGGCGAGAACGTCAAGGCGCTGTACCGCCGCGCCACCGCCCTCGAGCAAAAGAAAGACTACGAGGCGGCCAAGGCCGACCTCGCCGCCGCCGCCCAGATTGCACCCGACGACAAGGCCGTCCCCAAGCTGCAGCAGCGCGTCGAGGCGCAAATCAAGCGGCAGCTCGACAAGGAGAAGAAGATGTACGGCAAGATGTTCGGATGAGACCCCGCCAACCGCCGTGAGCGGCAGCCGGCGATCACTCTGCTACTGCTGCCACTTGCACGCGCCCTGTGCGCTGCGGTCCTTAAAGTTGCCGCCACCGACCGGCCCAAACGCATCGCTAGAAAGTAGAATCGCTCCACGCTGCACTGCTTCAACATTCACGTTCAACGCATGCACGGATCATTATTACTTTCTTTTGCGAGTTGTATATTGCTCGCTGGCATTTTTGGGCGGATGGGCAGAGAGATGGCGGAATTGGAGGCTGGCAGCCGGTCTCGACACTCGAGCGGCGCTCCACACACCCTGGTGGTGGTGCCGCTCCTGAGTGTGAGTCCTCTGAAACTGCTGACTCACTTATGTGCGGCACAGGGAGTGCAGCCTGGGTAATGATAGAAGAACAGCTGTTGTCAGCTGAGAGCCAGCCCGTTGGAGTGTGAAGGCGTCGTAGCCCTCCGGTCTACTGAAGACCCGCAGGGCTGGAGCGAAAAAAAAGAGCAAGCGAGTACGAGCTGAGTCCTGAGACGTGAGAGCCAGAGCGAGAGCCCGCCGACCGGCGAGGCGAGACGCTCGTGAAATATATCATAAAAGCTCCGTTCCCGCGCTGCGCGGCGTGTAGCTGTGGGCGAGTGCTGGCTCGTTCTCACAGCAAGCGCCATGAGCCGCGTAGCGACGACCCACTGGGCGCGCGGCGGTCGCTGGCGGCGGATCCGCTCCGCAGCGGGCCAGGCGAGCCGAAAGAGACCGCCTCCTCCGCGTCGCGAAGCCACTCGGGCTCCTCTTGGGAGGGGAAGTTTTTGCGGATGGTCTGCAGCTGATGGAGGCGGTCCTGGTTCGCGCCCGCGGGCGAGGCCACCTCGAAGGAGGACGCCGTCCGGCTCGAGGAGAGGGAGGGCTCGTCGTGCTCGTACGGGGTGTACGCGCGCCACGTCGCCTCGCCGCTCTCCCTGCCGTTGGGCGTGTTGGATGGCGGCGTGCCGGTCGAGAAGTCGTGCCCCTCCAGCAGGACGCCGGCCGCCTTTCTCGCACGAGCCGTCACCTGGCACGTGCGAAGCAGCAGCAATACGGCGACGAGTAGCAGCGCGGAGGCCACGCATACCGCTGCAACCACCCAGGCAGGCGGGGCGTCGGCAAGGCTCTGCGCTGCCTCGCTGCCCGGCAAGACGCAGCAGTGATACCCCCAGCAGCCGCTCTCGCCGCAGACCGGGTCGTCGAACGGGTACTCGAGGTCCCCGCGGCAGCAGAGGCCCGAGCCGCAAAACCCGGAGCTGCATCCGCCGCTCTCGCCCTCTGGATCCAAGCAGCGAGACCAGCAGTCGACGTGCTCGTTGAGGACCGGCGCGCTCTCGCCGACCACCGACACGCAGCAGTGGTAGCCGCGGCACCCAGCGTCGCCACACCCCACGAACCCCTTCGCCGGCTGATGCCGCATGCAGCAAAAGCCGCCAGAGCCGCAGAAGCCGCTCCGGCATGCGGGGTCGAACTCGCCTGTCGGATCGACGCAGTCCTCTATACAGTGCTCACCCTCGTTGCTGACCTCTGCAGACGCGACGTCGGCGCAGCAGTGCTCGCCCACGCATCCCAGACCGGCGCAGCCTGCTGCTGCAGGCATGTCCGAGCGACAGCACAGCTCAGTGTCGGCGCATGGGGACCCGGCACAGCGGCCACCGTAGAAGGAGCCTGCGCTGGAGCAGGCGTCCCAGCACGACTCGCCGGCGGCGGCGAGATGGATGACAGGCGTGAGCGGCAGCATGGCACGCTGAACGCGAACCCCCCGACAGCGAACACAACGAAAAAACTTCTTGCACACAAAAGCGCAGTCGGCGCAGCAGGCCGCGGAAGGGGAAGGGGGCTAGTCTAAGGCCCACGTCGGGGTCGCCGCCGTCACTGCCACCGCCCCTGTCCACGCCACGCGCCGGACCCAGTGTAGTGTGTGCGTCCTCCATGGGTGTGACTGAGGAGTCTTCCAATTATTCGGGGGGGGGGGGAAACATGGCGGGGGAGGCGGGACCGAGGGGGGCGCAACCGTCGCCATCGGCACCGCCGTCGCCGCCCGAGCCGGTCGGCCCCGCGCCTGCCTACCCGCCGCCAACGGGACCGGCGCACGGGAGAGAGTACCCCTCTGACGAGGACGGAGACGGCCCCTACAAGACCGGGGTCGAGGGTACCGCCGACGCCGAGGTCCTCGCCGTGGGCGGGCGCGCGGCCAGCGTCGCATCGGGCGGCGCGGATGCGGAGGAGAGGACCGGGCACGGACATGTCAACCTCGCCGATGTGGACGGCATCACGCCGACCACGGCCGAAGGTGTGGAGGCTCAGCTCGACGCGGAGACACTCTGCAGGGGAGGTCGGGCCCCGCGCCCGTCGCACAACTATCGGGATGCGGCCAGGAGGAAGGACCGAGAGGTGGGGGAAGACGCCCCGGAGTGAAAGTTGGGAGACCTCGAAGAGGGGCCCGGTGTGGTGAGGTGCCGGGTGTGGATGGGCGTCGAGTCCGTGTCGAGTGTTTACTAGCTCCGAGTAGAGGGCGGCGTTCTGCTGCTAGGGGAAACCTGGAGCGCGGAGCTAACCCTCGGAGACCCGTGTTTACTTTAAGGCCCTTGCCCTGCGAATGCGCACCCCCCCTAGCTAGGGGTCAGGGCTCTCTAGCCCGTAGCCCGATGCCGATCATCCGGCTCGCTGGGTGCGCTTCTCAGCTCCCCGGCCCCGGATGTGAGGTTAATGACTGCACTCCAAGTGCTCCAAGTGCACGCCCTACAGCTTGTACGATGCTTTGTTTCTCGTGCCGTCCTCCCATCCCTCCCTTGGGTTGTCCGTTTTCTTTCTTTCTTTTTTGTTTCTCGCTCTCTCTCTTCCTACGAGCTATGTCCTATGTGGACGCTCCCCTGGTCGCCTGGACCCTGCTGCACACACCACGGCGCATTGAGACCAGACACAGGCTTGCAGCCTCGCGAATCCCTCTAAAGGCGAGACCAGGATTGCTGGGAGGAGCCTCGCGGACGGGAGCCCGAGCGGCGAGAGGGTGGACGAGCCGAATGGCACGCGTCCCCGCCAACGCCAGACAAGGGCTGCACCGTTCCGACGAGCCGCTCAACCCGCTACACTCACGCATGGCCGCAACGACGGCCTAACTGAGAAAGCCGAGCTCGGCGCCGTTGGCCTTTGCTAGCTTGACCAGGTTCACCTTTAGGGTTTTCGGCGCCTCCTTAACAAACTCGTCATAATCAATCGTGCAGTTGTCGTCTGCGTCGGCACGAGCAAGGATCTTGTCGATTTGGTCGTCGCTGAGGTGCGAGAAGCCAAGTCTCCTCAGCGCGGCCTTCAGCTCCTCGCCGTCGATAGCCCCCGAACCGTCCATGTCTGCAAGCTCAAACATCTTCTTCAGGGCGATGCATCCGAACGGGCTGTCGGAGGTCTCCACGAACGCCTGGATCACCTTTGTGTGCTCGCTGATGACGTTGGCGCGAAACTTGAGAAAGCGCTGCTCACCCATGACGCGCTTGGTGAGCTTGACCAGAGGCGTGAATGGGCCATCCTTTGCGCCACCCATCCGAAGGGCGTGCGGAGCGCTGCGGCTGGCAAACGGCGGTGTGGCGAGGCGCTGCGGCGCCGGAGCGGCGAACTGTGTGCTGCCAGCGAAAAAGCCGTGCACGTCGCACAGGGCGAAGGAGAGGATGAGCAGGAGGCGCCCCATCATCGGTGGCGCAGCAGCGGTTGACACTGACGGCATCGACGGCATCCACTACTTGTCTGTCGCTGTCCTGTCCAGGAAATGTCACCTAATTTTTCTTTGTTGTTGTGGCCTCCGATTTTTCTTCTTGTCGCAGGCCCGCATTAATGTGCGTCGGCATGGCCGTGCTCTTCGGGCCGCCCACGACGTGTCTGGGCTGCTACTGGGTGCACAGCCGCGGGCAGGCGACCGCACACTGGTACCTACAGCGCGTGCCAGCATTCACGTGGCTATCGGCGACAACTGGCGCGGGCGCGATCGCGGCTGCCTATACGGCGCAGCTTCGCTCAGTCGTGCGGCACTTTGAGCCGGGAGGCGCGCTCGCCCTCGACTATCGTAACGTGCAAGCACTGGGCAGGCCTGGGGAAATCTCAACCTGGGGCCAGTTCTGGAGGCTAACGGGCCCGCCAGTCGCGGCGAGGGTGGGCGCGCTCCTCGTTTCGTGTTACGTGGGCGGCGTGGCGCACGCCTGCGCGGGCGCCGCTTCTTCGCCCGCTGACGTGCGCTCTCTCTCCCGAAGGGAATAGACAGCGTCCGCCTCGAAAACAGTGTAGGTCATTGAGTCGTACGTGATAGGTCTGCGGTCTGTGTACTGTTAACTGGCTGAGAAGCATTATCCAGTGCACTGCTCCTGTGTGAAGCACTAGAGGCCGTCATCGCATTCGCCTTCGCCGGACCCAGTGCTGCCTTCTGACTGTCGTCGCTGTCTCTCCAGTCTCGGCTGTCTGTGCGGTTTATGATTCGATAAATAAACGTATAACGTAAATAAAAACGGACATCTCTACCCACTGTGAGCTCGAGACTGTGAGATGGGTAAAAAGGAACAGGCCCCCGCCCTTGCGATCTTTGTGCAGGGTTCTTTGTGGGTGTGGTCGGCGACTAGCCGGGGTCGTCCTCCCGATGGGGGACTAGCACTAGCCGTCTTCCACATGGTCCCTCGGGTCCCTGCTCGCCTGCTGCGCTCCTAATGCTAATCTCTTCGTACATCCTCCTGCTGATCTCCGCAAAGTCCTGCTCCCTCCCTCGTCTCGCCCTGCGCGTCTGCTCCGCCTCACCGTCTTCTGCCCTGCGTCGTCTGGCGACGGGTCCTCCATAGAGCATAGTCGGTCGAGGTCGCCGCCCTCCTCGTGCCTCTTCCCAACGTTCCCTCGGCGGCCGATGCCGTCTGCTCCGGCTCCCCAGTCCCCGGCTCTGCCCTGCTCTCGTCTGCGCTAGTTTCTGCTTCGTCATCATTCGCGAGGCGGCCTCCAACATGCGAACCGACAGCCGCGAGGACCGCTTTGCTGTCTACGACCTCGCTCCACCTCCCCCGCCGCATCCTCACGAACGGGGACAAGGATTCGCCGCTCTGCCGGCGCGACACGACGCTGGCCGTGATCCTCTCGCTCTCCCCGTTCCTACCTGAGTGGTTTACGCTGGCGGTCGCCACGGAACCGGACGGCACCATTCCGCAGGGCCTCGAGGACTGGAGCATCACGGGCGAGGCGGGCCGCCCCCCTGAGTTCCTTAGGTCCTTTATCGCGGAGATGGACTGGTACGGTACGCCTACCACCCCCGGCCTGTGCTACTACTTGTCCCGCCGCCAGACCGCGGTGTACATGCCGCCGAAGCCGGAGGACTGGTACTGCGTGCCGTCTACGCTCCGGAGGCTCGCCGACTTCGGCCAGCGCCTCTTCAGCGCGCTTGGGTACCCGCCTACCGTCGAGCACGGGCACTCGTTCCAGTCCTTTATCCACCTCATCATCTTCTACCTGGAGAAAGCCCCGGACCTTCCCACCCCGGACATGAAAATCCGATGGGTCGACGACTGCGACACCTGCGCTCGCGAGGGTCTCGGCCTGGCCGCGCAGTCCCACAAGCTGCGCATCGGCCTCGCCGGCGGGGCGCCGCAGCCCCCCCTCGAGGCTCTGCTGCCAGAGGCCTGCGCCCCCATCAAGCTGCTGCAGGCCCGGTGGCTCAAGGTGGAGAAGGGCCTCGCAGACGAGCGGGACAAACCGCAGATGCTCCAGCGCGACGAGCGCGCTACGGTGCAGCTCTCGGGGGCGAACCACGTCCCACTTCGCTCCGAGCGCCCGCAGCGGTACAAGCGGCTCCGCGCGGGCGCCTGCACCCGCTCCCGAGGGGCCTGGCGGGGGCCCCATGCTCCTCCGTGGCGACGAGGCCCTGCACCAGCCGAGCCTGCCGTGGCGGCGCGGACCCTCTCTCGCCGACCTCCGGCGCGCGCGGCCAGCCGAGCGCGAAGCTGGGCCCGAATGCCCGAGCAATGTGGGTGGTACGAGCGCCAGCCACCGCACGGCGCACTCGCCAGGGGCGGCTGGCGACCCTACGCCTCGCATAGCCAAGTGCGTGCGCCTCGCGGTGCTCCTCGCCTCCTGCCAGGCGGTGGCGGGCATGGGCGTGCCTCATCAGCCGTTTAGCCCCGCTGCCCGAACCAGCCTCCCAGAGAGCGCCCCCGTCATGCTGCTCGCCCTTGTCGTAGCCGCTCTCGCCCCGCCGCCCTCTGGCGGGCGGCCGTCATCGCGAGTGCCGGCGACTCGAACGCGCCGACCGCCGCCCTCGTGGCGTCTCTGCCACCATCGCCGCCACCGATGCCCACGCACCCGGCGCCCTTTCCCGGCGTTACCAGCGAGTACTTCCCGGACCGCCGCCGAGTGTATCGCCAAACCATGTACCACCGCGTGCATGAGGACAGGGAGGCGGGGCGCCTCCGCCAGTGGTTCCCAGGCGCCTACAAATGGATGACGTGCGTCCTAGTGACGGACGATCCAGCCGACGCGCCCTTCGGCCTTAGCGCGGAGCTCGACCACGTGATGGTGGCCGAAGTTGGCTGGAACGGCCGCCTGTCCCGAGCCGTGGCCATCCTGCCTGATGGGCGCTACGTCTTCCCGCGTTGCCTCCAGATCATACCGTCCGTCACCGCCGAAGTGCTGAGCGACGACGAGGCGCGCCACGTGCTGCGCGCTGCCGTGCGACGGTACGGGGATGAGGACTGTCGCCGCAGGGGCCACCGCGGTTTTCACGACACGCGCTACATTCAACCCGAACTCTGTCGAGCCTTCGCTCGGACGGGGGCTGACCTTCCCTGGTTCTCTAACCCTCACTGTCGTCGCATGCGAGGTTCTTGTGTCTCTTATCACGCTACTGTGAATCCCCAGGGCCTCCAGGGCTCGCACCTCAACCTCTCACAGACCAGCGCAAAAAATATTTTCTTCTCATAACAAGGCTGTGAATGACCAGCGGGCGCAGCTCGTTCGGCGGGCAACGTTCGGCGGGCAACATGGGAGCGAAACGCTTAGACGACCCTTCTATGTCATATGCCAAGGTCGAAGTCGTCGAAATGGAGAGAGCCATCGACCGCGCCGTTGAGTTGGAAAGAGCCGTCGACGACGCCAAGCGTGCCCCTGTGAGGGATAGAAGGCCAGAGCTGGGGCGGCGATGCGTAGTTTTCCGACGCCTCGTGCTGGCGGCCTTACTAGCTACTGGGGCCGCTGCGTACGTCGTCGTTGCGAAAATATTGGAGTGCAACTGGAACCCCCTGCAGTGGAGCAGCAGCTCGCAGCGATTCGAGATGTGCCTTGCCGTCTGGGACAATCACGCGCACTTTGTCCGCGACATCTTGTGGCGCTCCTTCCGGCGAGACTGGCCGGCGCCCGCTCGGCTGGAGCCGTGGATGGCGACATTCCACGGCGCGGGCCCGCTACTGAGCGCGCTGGAGGCTGCGGGCGCGGCTCACGAGCTGGTGCAGCCCCCTTCGCCCCTATTTGAGTGGAAGACACTGGTGGGCGACGGCGTGGTGACGGTCTGCCCGCCCTCGCCTGAGTTCTCGTTCTACTCGATGCTGGCGAGCACGCAGCTGAGCGCGCCCGACCTGGACGTCTATCTCAGCCGAGGCCACAATACGCGCCGGCGCTTCACAAACGAGGGCGCCATGCTAGACGCCCTTCGCGATGCTTTCCCCGCGCTTGTGGTGGCGGACACCTCGGTGCCGCTTCTCGAGCAAGCGCGCTTCTTTACCCGCGCGCGCGTTCTGATCGGGTGCGCAACGCGCCTGTGCCCGCCAGCCCGATCCCGCCTCCACACAGTCGTGCAACTAACTCGGTCACGTCAAGCTGTCGGCGTGTCACGCCGCCCCCGCCTCCTCCGCAGCTTGCATGGCGCGGGCCTTGCCAATGCCGTGTGGATGTCGCCGTCCCACCTCCACTATCTCGTTGAGATTATGCCCGGCAACTACTCCAAGGTCACCTACGGCAACCTGGCGGGCTGCCTCGGGCTGGGCTATGTGCGCCTGCCCACCACAATGCACAGATAGCACGATAGCACCGCAAAGTCCGTAGGACGTAGCGCGGCAGCTCGCGCGCGCAGCTCCCGGCACCCGAGCCCGTCTCTTGGTCCGTGTGCTGCTGCAGGAGCGCATCAATACGCCCACCTCGTTGGTGCGCGCATCCAATCCTCGCGACATCGAGCGCCGAAGGGAGCGCGATGCCATCGTGGAGGTGTCGCCCGCGGACCTAGCAATGGCGACGAACGTGTCCCGCAAGATTGTCGCGGCCCGAGAGTCGTTCGAGCGCTTACGCTTCTAGGAGCGCGCCGCCGCCGCCGGCGGTGCGCCGCGGCGACGGCGCTGCGGCGGGTCGTGCAGCGCCGGACGGCGGGGGTCTCGCGTGCGCCGGGCGCGCGTCTCGCCGGAGCGCGAGGGCGGGACTCCACACTCCACGCTGCGGAGGAGGCACGCTTGAACATCGTTCGGAAAAGCGGAGGCTGGTCCGTCGCCGGCGCGGGAACTGGGCGCCGGCGGGAGGTTGGCCGGAACGGAGTTACCGGTTGTTTGGAGGGAGGTTTTCTTTTCCGAGCTGCGAGGCATTCGAAAGGGCAGCAGCTCGCAGCCAGTTGAGCCTCGGCAGCTTTTTAGCCTCTCCCGAGAGGCCCCGAATGGACTGCAACGCGTGCGAGTTCTGCCTCGACAAGAAGAAGAACGGCGGCCCCGGCCTCAAGCGCAAGGCGTGCCTGTACAAGCAGCGCGGCGGCGGCCCCGCCGCTGGCGGCAGTCAGAGCGCCGACGGCGCAGGCGCCCAGCAGCCTGCGGAGGCTGCGCCAGCGCGCGCGCCGTCGCCGCCGGCCGGGGCTGAGAGCGGCGGGGACCAGATCCCCGCCGCGGCCGCCCCCTCGCCGGCGCAGCCCCCCTCGCCCGCTCCGGCCGCCGCTGCAGCCGGCGTCGCCAGTGCGGCCGGCGCCACAGCAGGCGTGATTTCGTTCAAAAAGAATTTGTCGCCGCCCGGCCCGCAGCGGCCACGTTCCAGGGGCGCAACACCTCGACAACGAGCGATGTCCAAGTCCTCCAAGAGGGATCGAAACTCGGAGGGTGGCGAGAGCTCGTCCGGCAAGCGCGTCAAGGAGTCTGGCGCTGCGGCTTCCTCTTCCTCAACCGCGGCCGCGCCTCAGGCCGAGGAGCGGCCGCCGCTGTCGCCGGCTGCCGCGCCTGCGGTGGCCGCGCCTGCGGCGGCCACGCCCGCGCCCGAGTGCCCCGTCGCGGACGAGGACTCGCACCCGCATCTCTGCTGCTCGGTCTGCCTCTCCTTCCCCGAGGCGGAGGTGCTCCAGTGCTGCGCAGGCCACATTGTCTGCGGCGGCTGCTACGAGCGTGTCTGCCACGAGGAGAAGCCAAGCTGCCCGTCGTGCCGCGAGGCGCTCGACCTCTTCAAGCCGATCCGCAACATGCTGGCCGAGCGCTCGATTGCGATGCTCCCCATCCGCTGCCCCAACGACGAGTGCGGCCGCATGCTGACGCGTGGCGGCCTGCCCACGCATCTCGCCGACGAGTGCGCCTACCGGCGGGTGGCCTGCAAGTACTCGCCGCTGGGATGCAAGTGGGAGGGCGTGGCGGGCGAGCTGGCGGCGCATGAGGACCGCTGCAAAAAGGCGGAGGCGCCCGGCTGGAAGCTTCTCAAGCGCGTCGTCGAGCGCGAGGCGGCGCAGCGTAGCGCGCATGCAGCGGCGCTGACTGCGGCACGCGAGGGGCAGCGCGTGGTCGAGATGCTCTCTTCGCGGTGCAAGAACGTCGAGTTCACCAACGTGGTGCTCCACCGCTGCTCCGCGCACGAGCACGTCGCGGGTCGCCCAGCCCATTGCGTCTCGGCCACCTTCCACGCTTTGGGCTTCCGCTGGAAGCTCTACACGCTGTCGGAGCACACCGAGCGGCGCTTCTCGGCGGTGCTCCAGCTGCGCGAGTCGCGCGCGCCGCTGCGCACGGACGCCTTCATCCTTCCCGGCCACGTGATGCCCGAGGGCGTCCAGCTGCGCATCGGCACCCTCGCCCGCACCTTTGACTCGCGGCACAAGACGTCGGAGCCGGTGCTGCTGGCCGAGGGCGGGGCGGCGGAGCAGCTCGACGCACTCGAGTCGGTCACGCTCCGCGTCGGGCTGATCGACAGGCGCGCCGGCCGGCCCGACCCCGGCTTCCTCGGCCAGCTCAACATGGGCGGCGGAGGGCTCGACGGGTGGGACGAGGAGGGAGTCCTCTCTGACTCTGGCGGCGGCGGCGGCGGCGGCTCCGATTCAGACTTCGAGTCGGATGACTCGGGCGGAGCGAGCGGCGGACGCGGGTACTACTGAGGACCGTCTGCTCGGCGCGAGGGCTGTCACCCCCCGAGCGTGATGCTGATGGCGCAGACGACGGCACCCGCGTGCGCAGGGACGGCGGCCTGGCGTGTGCGCTACTGGCTTAGTTACGGCACTGGCTATGCGGCCTACGTCAGTACCGCGTTCGGCCTGAGAATCCTGATTGATGGCTGCGGCAGGCTCTGCGGAGCCGAGCGCGGCTCCCCCCTCGCCCTCGGCCGGCCTCCCCGAGGCCGAGCAGAACGTCCAACGACTCTGCGCATCTCAACGACAGTCGAGCAATCGACACCAACGTGTGCCCCTGTGGCTGTGCGCAAGGTAAGGTAAGGTAAGGTAAACTCCACACACACAAAGTGGTGGGGCAAGGGGGGGGCGACCCTCGCATCTCCACACCCGTCAGCGCAACGTCCATGGTCCAATTTGAATTGAGTCTCGGCGCCACACAGGGGCGGACAGGCATCCGCACCATCAGCCGCGATCAGCGGGCCGCTCGAGAGACGTCAGACGAGAGACGGTGATCGAGCCAACACTGTTCTAGGACGCATCGGTAAACAATGATGGGGGGGTCGCCCCCCCAGACGACAGCCATGGCGCTCGAGCTAGTCGCTAGTGGCCTCGAGCGTGGCGGGATGCGGGCGAAGCGGCGCGGATATACGGTAGGTGCCCGGGCGGGGGGAGACGGAATGGTGGACCATGTCCGCCGTGAAGATCAGCTTTTACAACAACCATTACAAATAACGTTATAACGTTAATAAAGACTCACGTCAACAGAACGCGCACGTAAGGCAAGGGCTAGGGCCTAGGGGGGACGACACGATCAACAGGGTGGGCAGGCCCGGGCAGCCGCGGCGAATCCGCGACCACACCACGCACACGAGACGAGCGCCCCCCCACAAATCCCGCACTGTGCCTATGCATTATGACAGGAGCAGACCGCGTCACAGCGCCTGACTAGCTCTCTCGAGCACGCCATGGGCGACGCGCAGGGGAGGCGGGAATGACATGCATCGCAGCAAAATGTCGCAGTCCCAGCGCACTGATGCGTGGGTTGCCTCTCGGTACAAATCCCGCCCGCCCTAAGGTGGGCGGCGGACGGGGAGGAGCGACTGTCCCTGCTGCCGAACCGGTA